TTGCTTTCTGCAAAAAGTTTTCCCCTGAAATTTTTGCTTTAATTTTGAGCATATTTGACCGTAGTCATCACAGTGTGCGATGTAGCCCAAGTACTTTAAGCTTAAGTGTCTTTTACTCAAATTCACCGCTGTTTAGATTTCATTTGCATTACTCACATTCACTTTTTCAATTAACATTTTTTCTTGGTACGAGATATAATAAGTAAATAAATAAATATCAAGTGGTTTCATGATGTTTTGCTCGATGCATTGAGTGCCATCTATCGAATGATTAATCCATTAGCGTTGAAGTTTTGCTCCAATTGCCAATGCAAGCGAAATTTCAATACATAATCTATCATCTGTTTATGTGGTGGATAATCACAAAATTAGCAGAACAATTAAGTCATTAAATATCAATTTTTGATCACTTACCCAATTTGCAAAAAAGTAATTTAAATTGAGCAAGATACGACTATACTGATAAGAAATAAATAAAAAAATATTGACTTGTCGTAACTTAAATCCGTTAAATTCTACTTAATCCAAAAGAAAAAAAAAACAATAATTTTAAAGTTTTTTTTTCACATCATTAACCGTTAAATCCGAAACCTAATTGGTTTTAGCGTACCTTCTGAAAGGGCTACAGGTAAATTTCCGCAACTTCTAACTAAATAATTTTTTAGAAAAGTTTACCAAAACTTATTTTTTCATGTAAAATAATATGCAAAAAATACTGGTTTTACTTTTTTATTCGTCCCATTCTTAGTTTATGCCATTAACTAAAGCTCGTTTTTTTCATTTCGTATCATCTTGTCATGAGTGGACGCACATTTTTTTCTGAAGAGCCTCTGAAAATGACGTCACTATAGTGAATCTATGAATATTTTGGGCTTTCTTGCCCTTAATTATATTTATCGACTAACTAAGCCTAGCTAAGAAAAATTTGTTTAGCGTTATTTCGTGTCAAGCAATATTTGGTGTTTAGTAATATTTTATGTTTAGCCATATGTTATATTAATCCAATTTCAATCAATATAACTATTATTTTGCTTAGCAATATCTTTTTATTTAACAATTAATTGTGTTTAACAATATGCTTAGCCATATATTATGGTATGCCATTCATTTTTTGTCATTGGTCTATGTTAAGCAATATATTATGTTAAGCCATATTTTTTGCAATATTTCGTGTTAAAGAAAATTTAGCTTTATACGAAATTTCGTGATAAACAATATTCGGTGTTATGCAATATATAATGTTAAGCCGTATTTTTTGGAATATTTTGTGTTACAAAAAATTTGTTTAATACAAAATTTCATGAGAAACAATATTCTGTGTTAAGCAATATTTTTTGTTAAGCAATATTTTTATTAAGCAACATTTTGTGTTAGGCCATATATTATGTTAAGTCGTATTTTCTTGCAATATTTTTTGTTAAGAAATATTTTGTGTGAAACAATACTTCATACTAGGAATTCTTTTGTGTTAAACAATATTTTATGTTAAGCAATATTTTATGTTAAGAAATATTTTGTATGAATCAATATTTTATGCTTGGCGTTATTTTATGTTAAACAATATATTATGTTAAGCAATATTTTTTGTTACGCAATATTTTGTGTTAGACAATATATTATGGTAAGCCATATTTTTTGTAATATTTTTTTTAAGAAATATTTTGTGTTAAACAATATTTTATAATATGTTAAATAACATTTTAAATAATATTTTATGTTGAACAATAATTATTGTTATGCAATATTTTTTGTTACGCTATATTTTGTGTTCAACAATATTTTTTCATTAGGAATGTTTTATTTTTATTTAAATTAGATTAAGCTATGTTTAGTTACATTTCAGCTTCAACATGTTTAGCAAAATTTTTATGTTTATCAAAATTCAGCGAGAACATACATATGTATATGGTGCTTATTTTTACGCTCCAGACTTTTTGGTAAATTCAGCTTGCTATACCAGGAACACCCTAATATTCTTAAAGGCCTTAGTAATTAACGAAAATTGTTTTCGTAATGTTTTAGTTGCTCAATTATATTCGATTTAAATTCTTGCAGTAAAGTTTACACATGCTTAGTCAAAATCCGCACAGCAGTCAATCCTCTGCCTTCCTTTAAAACATTAGTCCTATTTGAGAAAAAAAAAACCGTTTAGTGCAATGAAGGTCCATTCTTGTTTTCTATTGGTTTTCATTTCTCTCTTAATCAATACGCTGCTTAACAAATCAGCTGTCAAATGTTTTGTTAAAGTAACTAGTATTTCCTGTGAATCGTTGGATAAAAAATTTGCCGACTTTCAAACGTGTCGTTTATCCGTGCCACGACGAAGCGAAATTTCAATGGCCGTACATGTGCGACTCTTTAAAGTGCCCGTTAATAACGTTAGTGTAAGTGGCGTTTAATTTAAAAAAAAAATAAATAAATTTTTTAGATAATATTTTTTTTTTTGCTTTCAGATAAATTTAAGCCTCTGGCGCAAATCGAACGACTATCGTCCGTTTTTATACAATGTAACTGTCGATTTCTGTAAATTTCTGGAAAATAAAGCGCGTATGCCATTTGTTAAAATCGTTACTGATGCTTTTACAGTGGCTTCGAATATAAATCATACTTGTCCTTTTAATGTGAGTAAAATTTCATTAGATGCGGCGCTTGTGTTATTTTTTTTTCCATTACTTTCAGCATGACATTATTGTGCGAAATTTCGTGGTGAACGATCAGATGTTCCGATTTATGCCCTTACCAGATGGAGAATATAAGTTCAAGCTATTGGTTGGCGCATACAATGAATTCAAAGCTGAAGTTATAACTAAGTTATTTTTAAGATTGAATAAATCATAGTTTTATAACAAGTTTTCGATGTAAATTCAATTAACATTGAATGTTTTTTGTAATAAATCAAAATAAAAAAAGTCTGATGAGGAGATGTGGTAATCTCCGAAACCTACCATTTTTCTTTGTTATAACAAAAAAAAAATAAAAAAAAAAAAAAAAATATTCAATTCATACAAACAATATTTATATCAAAAGTTATTACAATTATAAAAATTACTAACCTAATTAAAGAAAAAAAGTAAAATATAATATAATCAAAAATTTAAATATTAAAAGAAAATAATTAATAATAAAAAAATATTAAAAAATAAATAAAATTTAAGAAAAAGTAATTAAAAAAATTATATAAAAATGTAAAAAAATAGGAAAAAAATGTAACAAATATATATAAAAAATTTAGAAATAAAATAAAAGTGTAAGAAATATAAAAAATGTAAAAAATAAAAAAATAATATGAAAAATGTAAAATATAAGAAATTTTAAAAAATGTAATAAAAAATATAAAAAGATATAAAAAATTAAAAAATATAAAAAATTAAAAAATATAAAAAATTAAAAAATATAAAACTCAATTAAAAATATAAAAGTCAATTAAAAATATGAAAATATAATATAAAAAAATAAAAAATTATATAAAAAAAATAAAAAAATTTAATCAAAAAATATGGAAAAAAAAATGTAAAATAAATAAAAAAAATTAGAAATAAAATAAAAAATATAAAAAAATATAAAAAAATAAAAAAAAATATAAAAAAATAAAAAAAATATAAAAAAATAAAAAAAATATAAAAAAATATAAAAAAAATATAAAAAATAAAAAATAATATAAAAAAAAAACAATATAAAAAATTTAAAATATAAAAAATACAAAAATTTTTTAAAAATACATGAAAAAAATATAAAAATAATAACACGTTTGTCTGTACATATAAAAAACAAAAATGTAAAAAATAAAAAAGGATTAATATACAACAAAAATTAAAAATTCAACAACAAAAAGTAAAACAATTAAAAAATTCAAAAAAATTTAATCAAATATATTTAAGAGTTAATAAAAATGAAATTAAAGAAGGAAATACAAAATGAGACTAAAGAATTAAAAAAAAAAATTTTAAATTCTTATGTTTATATTTGGCGATTTGTAGTTTGTTGAAGCCATTTTCAGCCGACAATAAAAATAAAATAATTTAATTAAAAAAAAAATCATTAAAGATACAAAAATAGCGAAATATAAAGCAAAATTACTTATTAATAAAAAAAAATTAAATCAATTAAATATATATATCTATATATATATAATAAAATACTAAAAAAATAAACAATAAGGTTAAGAAATAGTAAGAAATAACAGTATGAAAAACCCTTCTCCTTCTTTATTGGCGTAGAAAACGTTTGCGCGATTATAGCCGAATTTATAACATTTCATTTTCATTTCTTTTTTTCGCTGTTTGGCGCTAATTGGAAATACCAAGTACAGCCAGGCCCTTCTCTACCTTGTCTTGCCAACAGAGTGAAGATCATCCCTTTTTTCTGCTTCCACCAGCGAGTACTGCATCGAAAACTTTCAAAGCTGGAGTATTCTCATCCATCCGGACCATATGAGCTAGCCAGCGCTAGCCGCGGTTTCTTAATTCGGTGAACTATGTCCATGTCGTCGTACATCTCATATTCGCTGTTGCCACGGACCATTAATCTTACGCAAAATCTTTCTCTCGAAAACTGCTAACGCCGACTTATCAGATGTACTAATCGTCCAAGTCTCCGCACCATGTACGGCAACGATAAGCGACTTGTGGAGTTTGGTTTTTGTTCGTCTAGAGAGCACTTTACACTTCAATTGCCTGCTCCAAAGATCCAGAATTCTTTGACCTAAGCAATATTGTCTAAACTGTCTGTAGAGGAGATGAAATTTTCTTTTAGGCTTTTCTCAACTTTTGCAAAACTCGGTTGAAATGTGTTTGATCACACATAATTACTAACCTAGCGAGCGCTGATATTTGTAAGATTATTTTCCCAATCTAATCTATCTTTTTTATCAACAAATTGAAGGCTTGGTGTTTGCCTATTTATTCATTTGTTTTTAAATACCCTCTTGAGCTTAGTAGCACATTCACAAATATTTGTATTCTCAGGACTAATTTGTATCTCTGGTTTTTTTCTCCTTTCAGTTCAACGCGCAAAAGGCCTCCTAACGAAGGGTAAAAATGGCACCAACAACTGTTTTGTCACAATTTCACTGGGCAAGGAGAAATACCAAACATCAGTCAAAGATAAGGCGGAAACCAATGTCAGTTGGAATGAGGAATGCGAACTGTAAGTTGCCCCCCACCCCGCATCTCATGTTATTGTCATCCCTAATATCATTTTATCTCCCCTTCCTAGCAAAATTCCCGATCAAGGCAATCGCGCTGAATTGGCTTTAACTTGCCTACATCGCAATAATCTCGGTATCGATGAATTCCTCGGACAGGCCACATTGCCACTCAACGAAATGGACGTTTACGATCGTCCACGCTCCAAATGGTTCAAACTGGAAAGTAAGCCCGGCAAGGAGAAGAAGAATAAAGAGCGTGGTGAACTGGAAGTGCGTATTTCCTTCATTGTCAAATCCGGTTCACTTACCGATCTGAGCAAGAAGGAGAAGCACAAGTCTTCCATTGGCCAGTTGGCCTCTTCCGTGGGTGGCAGTCTGCTCTCGATAGGCACAATAGAAAAGCGCAAAGGCATTAAGAAATTCGCCAAATCGATTGGTTCGAAAATGCACTTGCACAGCAAGAAGAAGAACAAAGATGGCGATGACGTATCGAATTTCAGTGGCTCTTTTGCGAGCATCGGCACACCGAACAGTTCGAACGGCGGCAGCCGTCGTTACGGACAACGTGCTGGTGAAGCTGATCCCGGTGTGATTAGTGAGGATGAAGACGAATTCGTTTTTGATAATTTGTCACACAAGAGTTCGGCTAGTTCGTTGAATATACGCTCGAATCTCCAACCGCCAACACAAAATCACGCGCCGCGAAATCCTTCACCGCTGCTGAATAAAAACGGAGGTAAGCCATTGTCTAGACGAGATTTGGTGGAGGAGGATCTCGCAGTAGATCCCGAATTAGAGGAATTAGAAAATGACTTCAGCGTTCGTGCACGCACACTGCCGCCGCCCTCGAAACCACCACGCACACAACAACAACTCAACGATATGATTGCTTCGTCACCGAAGCAGAAGGAGCCAGCACTCGACGAATGGGAATCGAAGTTGTACAAACAACATTTGCAGATCGGTAGTTCGGATTCGTTGAAGCGACGTTCCTGGGAACAATCGCGTGTGCCGCTACCAACACCCAATGAAGAGGCGGAAACGGAACCGCAACGCCATGACGATGAGAAGAATGTGGCGGATAAGAAGGAAGAAAAATCTTTCATTGAGCCGATAAATAGAGAATCTAATAATGGCGATAGCGATTCTTCATTGTCTTCTACAGACTCAGACGAGGAGCAAGCTGTGCCCGAGCCAATGAAAACCGAAATCAAGGAGTTGCCCGCTAAAAGGCCCCAAGAACTTATTATTAATCCCAAACCCGTCACGGCTACACAAAAGATCAGTCTACTGTCGCCAGATGAAGAGACAAAAGATTTCAATGAGCTCAATGCGTCATTTGCAAAATTCGAACAACGCAATAAGTCGCATTTATTCGATTTGGATACAGATAAAAAGTGGCATACACAATCATTCATAGATGTTGAGTCCAAGGTGCCTGTCATGCCTAAGGCCATGCCACGTAATCGCGAAAGGGAAGCGGAACTAAAACGCGCCGAAGAACAAGAACAAGAGTTCGAACGCCAACGTCAAGCAGAGACGGACGCTAAGGCTAAAGCTGATACGGAAGCAGCAGCTAAAGCTACAGCTGTAGCTAAATCTCTAGCAGCCGCAGAGGCCGAACGTAAGCGCCAAGTTGAACTCGAAGCTGCCGCTATTGCCGCTGAGCTACTAGAACGTAAGCGGCGTGTAGCGGCTGAAGAGGAAGAGAAAAAACGTGCCGCGGAAGATGCACGTCTCGAGGAAGAGCTGCGCAGAAATGAACAGAAATTACGCGAAGAAGAAGCGGCTTTGCAGGAGGAAATGCGTCAGCGGGAGGAAGAGAAACGACGCGAGGCAAAGCGACGTGAGGAAGATCAACGCATATTGAACTTTGCCAAACGTTCCACATCACTAGAAGAAGAAGGAGAGCAAAGCAATTACAGTACGCCAGAGCAATCACCAAGTGAAACGATGGCTGAGAAGCGTGAAAGACGTTTAGGCAAATTCAAATATCTGAATAAGCGAGGTGAGCGTTTGAGAGGGACGGTGTGCAGTGGTTGATGAACGTTTGTTGTTGTTGTTGGCTGTGGCGGCCAGCACGCTGGCGGATTTGTTTTGCTATCCAAAGTTGAAACGTACGAAAACACACAAATAGAAAGTCCGATATTTCTGATTTGTCCATTCAATCTGGCTTTATAAAAATTAAAGAAAAGAAAAATCACAATTATACGTATACACAAATACTATTAAATAAATGTTGTGAATTGTCCGCATGCAAATGCTTAGTATTGATCGAATTCGTTTAAATGTACATAGTAAATTGTTTCAAAAAAAAAAAAAAATTATAATGCACGCTTTTATAATAAGACCAATCAAACGCAAATCCGCCAGGGATTTCATTTGTGCGCTGTCCACATACATACACGCAAATATTCATCATCACTCACACGCATACTTAGTACATGTATACCAGTGTATATTTTAGCAAGTTTATCATTTACATTTATATATGAAACGCAAATCATTCGCATTAATTATGCACATTCAAACCTTGGTATTGTATTTATTGTTGTTTTTCGTACAAAATATTTGCATTTAAACATTTTTGAAATGAAATCTCTTAACTACTTCTAGATAAAAATGAAGATAATCGTTCAACGCCAAGTCCGAAATCCAATGAACGTATTATAATCGGGCACGAGAAATCCACATCACACGCTGAAAGACGCTCGGAAATATCGGCGGCGTTGGCCAAAAAATACGAAGGAAAATCACGAGAGGTTCAATACATTTATTTAGCTTCTTCGAAATATTTTACGCTAAACTAATTATGTATTTCACAAATTTTTTTTAGGAGCTTATGCTGATAGCGAACGGCATGGAAAATGAAGCGTTATTGCAACGTCAACGTGTTAAAGAACTGGAAGATTATCTGGACAATTTGTTGTTGCGCGTAATGGAAACACATCCAAAACTCTTACAGAATCCATACTCACGAACTACATCGGCTAAGAGGTATAGTTGAAATTGTATGCTATAACTTTTGTGTGCTCTCAATTTGTAAACGAATTTTTATGACTTTTTTATTTATTGTCTTGCTAATTGCATTCACCACTTTTGGCGCTCATATCACATTTTCATTTCGTTACACTGAACCACTAAACATCTAATCTTTCAAATTTAATGCACTAAACAGCCTCAAGATTCTTTTTTCTTAATATTTGTACCAGTAAAGGATTTAATGCTAAATTGAAAAATTTATACATAGAGGCGATAGGATGTAGTAGTCCGTAGGCAGCCCGAAAAGTATCAGATTTGCATAAGATTTAGTTTTTTTTAATTCATCACAGTTGGTCGAAATCTATCTCTGTTTGAATTCGATAATTAATTCAACGAATATATTGGTATTTCGTTTTACTGGAAGATTTTGATCGAAAAAATCCGACGAGCTATTAGTTGGCGGATTTAGTTAGTATTTTTTTCAAATTTTTAGGAAGATAGAAGCCTGAGAAAAGTGCGTATAATGAAAGTTTTTAAAGTTTTTTTTATAAATTTACGGGTGTCTCTTTGAGTAAAGAGGCAAAAAAATTACTGAAACTTAATGCGCGTTATTTCTATTATTTATGGCACGCAATCCGAACACTGGCGAATATGCTGCCAAGAGAAAGTGGTGTTCCTATCAATTTGTGCTAACGTGCGTCATATAAGAACATGGTAGTGTACCAAACCAATTGAAGAAAAGCTGGAATTAAGATTTTTTTTAATTTTGACATAATTTCACCTCCTAGCATAGTATTTTTAACTAAAACATATAAAGCAAATATTTTAAATTAAGGTCGAATGAAATTAATGGCTCGAAAAGATTCAGTGGATTGCTGGGGTCACTTTATTTATCTCTCCAAGTCCAATGGCAATCGCAGCCACAAGCAAAAATAATAATTTTATATAACTTGTTGTCAATTTTTTTAATAACAAACAGTCTAATACGAATTCACAAACATTTATTTGAGACCAAACGCTATTTGTATATTAAAGAAGAAAAAATTACTAAATAAACTCATTTAAATTACCAATTCAATTCACAATTTCATTAATTTCTAATAAAATCTTGCATTTTCCATCTGTTTTCAAATGGAACAAACAAGCGAAACCGAAAACTGTCAAATTGCATGCCGTGTCGTGTGAATGGGGTTAATTCGCATTCGTAATTGAGAGGGTGAACTATGTATTTCACAAATCGATAGAATTTTGGCTTCGATTTGCACTCTTTGCTCGAATTTATTAATTCTGGTGGGGTTTCAGAACACCTTTTTGATTCCGAAGCGGAAATCTATGCAGAACAGTCACTATAATTGGAAAAAATACTCATTTTTACTTTCAAAAAATTTGTCAATATTTATTTTCCCTTGCAATACGAAGTTCCGTAATAGTCAAAAACTTACTTCGAAAGATAAGGTGTTGGCAATTTTACACGTTCATAAGGTTGATTTTTTTCGAGTCCATACCGCTTTCAGACTACGACGTTAACGTTAATAAACCTGTTTTTATCACCCGTTAAAAACTTATCGTTTTGATGACGATTCGGCAAAGAGCTTTTAGTGAGTTGGATTTCCTTTCATTCGCGAGAAACGCAAGCACATAGTTTGTATTGCTTTAATGAGCATTGCTCGAAGTATATAAGTGTCAGAAGGAGACTAGAGAGTTAAGGTTAGGTTGAACTGGCTGATCCAACGGGTCTCACTTAGACGATATTTCCTCCAAAGTGTTCCCAGGCTACGCTACTACACTTTTTAGTGTGCCGCTAGAACGACGTAAAAAAGTAATGACCCGTTAATAGTACTGAAATCCGATCCCTTTACTGTCAGAAAAGCTTAGCTCATATTCTTTGAACGTAATTTTCGCGGTTATGCAGCCCATAGCTCGATACCAAAGTCTATTCGCCTAGCAAGGCTAGATTTATTTCTGCTTTTGCTGATAAGTCAATTATTACGTCATGTTCTCATACTAAATGTGTATTTTCTTCTTTTGAAGGTTTTCTACCTGCAGTAATTGTGCCGTCAATTTTAAAGAAATTTTTTATTGGCTTTCTTAGCTTGGAATAAACTGCTTACTTTCCTACCTTTTTTTTGGGCGGAGTAAACTGAAGCCTTCATTCCTTCGTTCATTTTACAACCATCTGAAAAAATACGAAGAGCTTTGATTGCATATCTCAGCCTTTTGATCCAGCCATTCGGTTCTTTTGAAGCTAACAAAAGCTAACCGAAAATTAGGCGTGAGATTACGTAGTCTATTCGTACACTTATTAGTAACGCTGTGTTACGGAGACGCGAGAGACCCAACCAAAATTTATACTGATCTTATCATAGGGGAGAGCTGAGCTCATTTAGCCATGTTCGTCTGTCTGTCTATTCCTCAGTTTTTAAGATATTTCAACCAAACTTGGCTATATTTTTGTACTGTTTTAATTCTTTGCCAGATCAGATCACTATAATATATAGCCTACATACAACCGATTTCTTCAGCTGTAAGCTATTGGGTCTTAAATACTTCAATAAAGCACCTAAGAGCGTGAAATTTTGTGTTCTATATACATATAATGAATTGCATGCTGGTACTGAAAATCATCTAAATCGTACGACCATAATATAAAGCTACCATACAACCAATTTGTTGACATCCAGATGTGACTTTGGTCAAATCCCTTCAATAAAGATACCTGAGAACATGAAATTGGCAACGAGAATAATCGAAATCGGAGGACTATATCATATGGCCCGCCATAGAACCGATTTATACAGATATAAATTTTTGGGTCAGAAATCATTCAAAAATATATTTAATAGCGTCAGATTTTTGTTTATGCAAATATATATTGGAGCAATCGATGTTTTAGCTTTGAAAACTAATATTTAATCCTTTTTACGACCGCTAAAGCAAATAAATTACTGAAACAATATCCTGTCTTACAAAACTTTCTAAAAATAATCTTAAAAAAGAGTGCCTTCAAACAAATTAAAATCAAATATGAGTGGGTTAACCTCTCCCCTTTTAATACAACTTCCTATAGTGCCACCAACATTGAAAAGTTATGGAAAATTAATTTAAATATAAAATTAAGTTAAATTTTCTGATTGAGGGGCCGGGAATGTATTTCGGACATGAAATCAAAAAAACCATCCGCCGTTCAGACGTGGCTAAGAAGGCTATATAGAGTTGTAATACAATGGCCTTAACGACTTTTTAACTACCAGAAAAAATCCATCTTTGCATTGAAAAATATATTCAAAGCCGTGAAAAAATATTTTAAAAATGAAATGAATTTCAGAAAAACAAAAATTTCAATACCATGTAATCAAGGAGCTACGTCTGAACCAAAAATTCTGTGCAAAACGAGGGATTAATCCATCAGTCATGCAGGACTAAATTTCGATTAACGTAATTTAAATTATCGTATTATGGTTGGAACTACAATACACACAAAAAAAAACAGAAAACAAATATTTTAATATTATTTTCAACTCTTTTTCTAAAAGACGAATTTTACAAGGTAAATTTACTACTAGAGCGAATTCGAATTTCTTCATTAATTTAATTAATTTAGAAATTGTTAAAATTATTTTTTAATTCATATTTTGCTTGAATATGATTTAATTGATTTTCCATTTGTAAACCAGAAAATCTTCAAAAAGTTATTATGTGATTGTGGTTTGGCCGAAAAAGTGAGAAGCAGAGAACATGCGTTTTCCTGAAAGCCAATGAATTTTCGAATTTTTTATAATTTTGACAAAACCGACGTGAAAATAAAAACGAAATACACCATAGTTTTTGTATTTGTTCACCTACATTCAACTTCATGAATTCGCCGTGTTTTTTTCATTTCCTCATTCTACGTCTATTGTGTTCTTTCTTTTTTATTTTTACTTTGAGGCGCATTCAACTTGGAAATATCCTTAATTTTTCATTACAAAACTCAAAATCAAAACTGAACATTCATTCCTTGTAATTGTGTATGTATTAAGTTAATTTAAATTCATTTCTCATGATTTTCCACTGTGTTCTTTGTTTTCCTATATCCTCTCAAAGTTTTCTACTCCTTTCATTGTTTTGTATGCAATTTTCTATATTTTCTCCTTTACTAATCGTATGTATATATGTATATATATTTTTTTTTATTAAATGCAAACTCCGTTATGTTATTTGTTGTGCTCTTCTTCAGTTTTAAAAATTACATCAATATGAATGACTTTTTGTAAAGAAAATGAGTTAACGAAGCGCGATGAGTTTTACCAACCGTTTGGCAGTTCGCATGTCATTGCCAGGACAAGTAAGCAATTTATTTACATTTTTTTACAAACAACTATATGGTGTGTCTTTATGTTTTTTCTGCTCTCTATTTTTATTTATTATAATTTGAATTATTTTTTTTTTTTTGTTAAAAGGTTTAAGGTGACAGACAAATTCATCAGCCATTAGATTTTGCTTGCCACAAACCAAAAAAAATGCAAACCAAATTTTTACCCCTAACAAATGTTGTTATTTATTGTTGTTATATTAACATTTGATTAAATTGATTACGCTTGAAATTGCTATATCACCCTTTTCGTACATTATTTGTTACAAAAAAAAGACAATGAAAATTATGCACAAAAATAATAAAATTTTCGATTTCTATTTTTCAGCGGCTGAACATAAAGAAAAATGGTATATTTTTTTTAGAAACTAATAAATCTAAGCGCGCGCTGAATAAAAGCAGAAAAAGTGATTGAAAATCATACTGAGCGCCTTCCAAGCAGCAAAAAAAAAATTGAAAACTAAACAGAAGCATACACAAAATTCAATATTAAGCAGCGAAGCTTTTAAGCCTGACAAATCACCAAGTTGCCTTTAAGTGAAAATTGAAAGTGCTTTTTTTAGATAAGATAATATGCATATATTTATTAATAATTAAACAGGCAAATATGTAAAGAAAATATATGAGTATATCATATATTTTTTTTTATTTCTTAGAAATCAATTTATGTTTTGTTAGTAAGAAATGATTTTGTTTCTACTAATGCAATGGAATAATTTTATGATTATGATTTTATTTATGCATTATTCAAAGTAAAAGTATCACAAAATGTATTTATGTAACAAACAAAACCTGCAAAGTATTTGCTGCAGCGAATTTCAACACACCACAGATTACAACACAACTCCAAACTGATGATTTTTAATTTTACACCAACAACGGAAAGTAGAATTTTAAGTTAATTTATTATAAAATTAAATTAAACAAAAATGCAAAATTTGTAAAGTTGATTTTATATATATATAAATTTGTTTTTTTTTTTTTTTTTCAAAGTTAAAATCAAACTGTTAGCGCCAAACGCCTAGAAATATAATATATAAATATCTATGAGTGTATGTAAAATTTTTCAAAACGAAACTTACAACTGTAAATAAGCGACAAGCAAAAATTGCAAAAAAAAAGAAGAAAAAAAACGAAAACTACAACTATTTATAAACATACAACATCTTTGGGAGGAAAATCAAAAATTAACTAATGCATTTTTTATAAAAATTTAAAATTTGACTTTTTGCAATTATGAAATAAAATTAAGTAAAATAAGTTATTAACTGTACATGAAATTTACATTTTCACTGATTATTGTTAAAATGTAATTTAAAAATGTCCATCACATTTTAATAATTTTTTTTTATTTTTAATATTTTTTTTTTATTTTTAATATTTTTTTTTTATTTTTAATATTTTTTTTTTAATTTTTAATAACTTTTTTTGTTCCTTTTATGTTATATTTTCGCCTTTTGGACAATTTTTAACAAAATTGTATATGATTTTCTTTGACATTTATCTATGTTCTGTGTATGTGCTAAATTATCACGATATTGTATTTTAAATTTAAGTAAACTTTATTTAATAAATATTATAAAACTATTTCTACTATAAAAAAACGTTTTTTTTTTTGGAATTTAAGAAAAAAGTAAATAAATGATACTCGGAACCAATGGGGACTGAACTCTGATGCATACTTGGTGTATTGAGGGGAACACATCCCTTACCTCTTGTATGATCAGTGAAGCGCAACACCCGGAGATGCCCGTGAGCGCGAAACCTCAATCGATGTCGATGGAAAAGACGTTCATTGGCAGACTATGACGAGATTCTAATAGCGATTGGCCACTTAAAGATAAACAAAGTGTATGGAGTTGATGGCTTACCGGCAGACTTATTATTGTAGCTGTTGTTGTTGTTATTATTGCTGTAATAATTGGAGAATGCTGCGGTAATGGCAGTTCTTGCGGTAACGGCACGACTATCGCGGGAACTTTGGATTTCAGTCCCACATTACGACAGGCATGCTTTACTGTGGGAATATTCTTGAACCCCTAGAGTTATTCAATCGAGGCGGCGGAGGGAAAAACTAGCAAGTTTCATTACTCAAATTTGAAGAATATGGTTGTATGAAAGCATGGCCGATGATTAAAACCTTAATTATTAGCTGTTGACCGTTCACGTGACGAAAATACTCCCTTCCCGTACTCGGAGTTAAACCACGAAACCCAATACAGAAAACGAGCTCAAGCTGCATCGAGAGACCCGCGGTACACTGGCACAGCTAAGGTCTGTATATTGTAGCAGGTTAAACTACTACCTATTCAGACTCGACCACAACATACACAATGCATGCCCAGCATGTGGAGAGCCTCCGCACGAAACTAGCCACCTCTTCACATCTAATCCCCTTCTCCCTTTGGTCCGATCCCGTCGAAACAGCAAGTTTCCAGGTCCTACCGTTAAATGACCTCAATCAATTAAAGTAATTTTAAACCTGTCCCTAAGCGGGGTTCACGTAGCCGCTACTAGTACAACAACAGCAACAACAAAACAAACATTGAAACCTTAATGTGTTCTGCCTAATCCATAAAAAGGGTGATGACACTGATCGTGGGATCAGTATGCATAATTGGCGATATGTACTCGCTGATGCGATTTTCGGTCGAGCTTCTCTTCCTCCACAAAAAAAGTTAAGCCCAGTGGGAGAACGGAAAACCTTTATTATCATGAAAAGATAAGGTAAGCCCCAAATCTAAAAGTAAGTTCTTGAAATATTTTCACGCCTAAATATATGCAGCAATTCTACTTGACTACCTACTTTGTATTTCCGCTTTTTTATCATATCTTACTAAATGACTGCAGAAATTCTTTCTGCGCCTGGAGATATGCAACAAATTTTACTTATTTTTCTCATCCGGCATTATGCAGAGAATATTTTTTTACATTAATAAACCAGAGAATGTTAATATAATCAGAGAATGTTAAAATAATGAGAAGGCGTAAATGTTAAGTCACGTCGGATCGCTTAGCACATACAAGACCCAATAGGATATCAACCAGTCGGAATTGAAGATACGACCCAATAAGGTTTGGCATCTGCTCAATTTGCAAGAAAAAAAAAATGCTCAAATATTAATTAAATAATAAAAAAAGCAAAATAAATAAAATAAAATAACATTAAATAAAGTAAAAATTGTTAAAAATTTAATTAAATAAATAAATAAAATAAATTAAATTAAATTAAATTAGTACTAAGGTTAAGGCATGGGAAATAAATAAATAATAAATCCTCCCCCTCCATAATTAATTTAACATTTTTTTTTTAATTAATTTTGCATTCTATGTTTACGCCAACGAGTTCACTTTGTAACTAACTTATTTCGTAGAAAAACGTAGAACGTTCGACGTTGGGTCAAATCTTAGCATAGCTTAGCTTAGGGACAAAATAAAACGTTTTTTTTTACTTTTTTTGCCTGTTCCAATTGAGAACCGATGTGACTTTACATTAGCGCCTTCTAACATTCTCTGATTATACTTAACATAAAATATTCTGGCTCCTGCTAATGTAATATAAAACAATATCCTTTTTTGTTTTCATAATATGGCTCGCACGTTTTTTTTAAGTTTTAATATTTCTAAAAATTCCCCGAACTTTAGCCTCTATAATGTAGTGTGCTTCTGTTTGCATCTGTAATTATTATCTGCAACGAGCAGTAGAGTTGGGCTGCTTTGAGTCGAAGTTGAATAATGTAATTTGGTGCATCGCTATTTCAAACCAATTTCACTGTTGGCCATGTTATTATCTCCTACTTCCTTATTTGTTCGTAAATCCAAAATTCCAATGTGATTATTTATGACTTTGTGAACATTTACGACTTATCCAAGCCGCTAGTCATTTGAAGTTAGGTTTTTCTATAGTACAACAACCAGATCGTCCACTTTCATACCAAGTTGCAAAGTACATTCTCAATTTGGTGATTAGTTTACTAATGAGGACAGTTTTTTCTTCCGAAGGAACCAAACTTTCTAGGAACTTTTGGTTATTTTCTTATTATGTGATTGCCTTCAATTGGATTGAAATACGGGCCGAAATATTTTCATTTTCTTGAAATTTATGAAATATCATACCACTGCTCTAGCCGAAAAATTCGACAAACAGGGCAGCTATCAGGTATTCATATATCTAATTCGAAATCAAAATTCAAAATATTCGCCATTTTATAGATTTTTGGTTTGTTATGAAGAAAAGTCTTAAGCGTCCACGGGAAAGTGCTTTCGCGGTAGTCATGATAACTTTTTCAATTTTTATCTGAAATCAAAAAACCAAATTTTTTCTTAAAGTTGGTGAATTTTCCTTGTACCTGAAAGAAGAAAAATTAAAAAATTAAAAATTGCATTTTTTAGCGTTTTTTTTTTATTTACAAAAAATGTGATTTTCTGCATAAAATTAGGACTCAAATTAGCTTGTAAAATGAGTTGAAATCAAAGATAAAATAAATCCTGCGTTCAGAGACTACAAAAACGGGCTTAAAAGAAGTGTGGAAAACTTAAACTCGATCGCTTCAAAAATCGTTGAGAAATTTCGACTACCGATTTCGATAAAGTGGTTTTAAGAAAGACGCGTTTAAAGTGTCGCCATCGGTCAAGCCATGACAAAGACGGCGGGTTAGAAAACTCTCTAATTTCTACAGTTTCGTCTCGATCGACTTGAAACTTGGGGAAAATATTACTGACACTTTTTTTTACATTTATACAAAATATTATATAAAAAGGATTTTTTGAAATTTAAAGACCTTAAGGGAAAAGTTTCTTCGCATATCATAATAACATCTCCTATTGGAAAATCCGTTAAGTAATTATGTACATAGTATGTATATTGATATTTTGCAATATCGAACAACAATTCTAGTTGAACTTATTTCCCTTATCCAATCACTACTGTACAACCAACGAATTTTCCTACAACACCAATGGTCGGCTCGCTGTGCCTCGCTACGATGATCGTTTCATTGCGCTTCAACACACGATCTTCGCACTGTTCCGTTGGCTTCCATTCGTTTGCGTTTAAACACTGACTGCACGATGCACAACTTTTCAGTCTCAACGCAAACTCGACGAATAACAGTAACCGGATCGAAGTGTACGCGCAAGTATCTCGACGCGTCGGCGGCAAATGTTAAATAACTAATAATATACAAAACAACAACAACAACACAAAAAAAATAGTAAAATAGCAAGAAAGAAACTTTGTTCTAAGTAAATGCAGTAGCGCTTAAGCGAAAAGCAAACGTTAATTGAGCTGAAAATCTTTCGAATGCCTTGAAAGTGAATTTCTAATTGTAATTCTAAGCAAATGTTTTTCATAACGTAAGTTGACGGTGTTAGTACCTACGTACATATGTATGTATGTATGTATATACAATGAATTTTTAAAATATTTATGTAGAATTTTTGTTTTTTTTTTTTTGTAATTTGTTGTGTTTTCAATTGAATGGTGTGAGTAAATGTGTGTGAACATGCAAACAATTTATTTAGCTTTCGATGCTAAAATGGAAATGAGTGGAAAATAATATTTCAAGTACTAAAAGGCTCACAATAAAGAGGTGCAGAATTATAAGAAAAAAATAGTAAATTTGTACATATGTATGTCAAATAGTGTTTATGAGTATTTTGACTGAAAAGTTTCAAAATTATGAGATTGAAAATGAAAATACAAAACCAGTTATTGAAAATGAAAGAAAAATACACAATAAAAAGTGGTGAAAGTTTAAATAATTATATTTAAAATACAATATATAATTATGTCTAAAAAAGTTATCGTCATCGTGGAAAACTAAAAACAAAAATCTATTTAAAAATGTGACTTTTACAAAAAATACTTTGAAAAATTAAGTGAATATGTATGTATGTACATACCTATTTAGATAATATACAATATTAATATATGAAATATCCCACTTAAATGTGCCTTTTGCATACATGTGTATGTACATATACATATATGTATATGTGGACTTGTACATATGTACATATGCAAATAACTAATTAGGAATATAATTAACAAAAACCGTAAAACGAATGGTAAGCTTCGATTACTCTTTTTTATATATGTACATTTGTGTATATATATATATACATATTTGGCAATAATGAAGGAATAGATATGTAACTAACTTACTAGAGCTCTATATTATACCCGCGGTTTTTGAGCAGTGCGAGCGGCTGTAAAACTTTTTAAAATATATAATATACCAAACACTGATATTCATATTCATACTATGTATATACAATTTTGTTAAAATGTTTGTTGTTTTTTACATGTATTCCATAACAATTTAATTTGGGCACCTTAGAAGACATTCAAATACTATTTTCATAATAAAAGCTTGAAATGATTCTTGTGTTTTCTTAGAAAAAAAGTCGTTATTAAAAATATCGCTGGCAAGTGAGGAGTTAGAACTCCAAACAGTCGAAATCCACATATAGAGAATTTATGCCGTCTGCATTTACCGATTAATATTATTGTTACGATTTTGCTAAATCAACCTCGATGATTTTCTGAATCCTTCGGGTACGATCTCTGGACAGTCAGCTGCTCGTAGACGAAAGTGTGGAATAATCGAGTTGTTCGCTATCGAAGGTTCTCGTTTTATCGTTCTAGAATATACTAGTTATCGGCTTCTCTCTTTCATCTGACATTCACCTCGCGTTTTCGCAACATTATGGTAAATAAAGCAAATAAACCATTGTTATTCAATTATGATCGCCCCTTGACAGGGCGAAAACTCAAAGCTCCTCATAAATATCCAACAGTCGTCGGTAGGCGGCCTAGAATAAATTGTAGCTTCCTCCATTTTGTTGAGAAAACATCAAGATGAACACGATTCTACAGTTATAAAGCGCTACATATATACATATGCTATAATTTTATTTCAATTTACTTTATATTTTTTAATATTTTTTTTTTTGTTTTAATTTATTTTATTTAAGTTTATTTTAATTTCCTTTGCTTAATTTTTTTCATTTATTATTATTTAATTTTATTAAAAATAGTTTTGTTACTTGGTTTTACTTATTTTTTATTTTTTTATGTTTTTTTTTTATTTTTTTTTTATTTTTTTTTTATTTTTGTTTTATATTATTTTACTTCATTTCGTTTTTATTTTATAAAATATCTAAGAATTTTGTTTAAGTTTAATTTTATTTATTTCACTTCATTTCTTTCTATTTTGTTTCATACATTGCTCATGAAATAATTATTTTATTTAATTATATTTATCACGTCTATAATAGTTTGTATTATTTTTCTTGTATTTTAATTTATTTCATTCTCTTTAATTTTTTGTTATTAAATTACATCTTATTTTTTATTTTTTCTTTATTTCATTTTAGTTGTTTTTGATTTCCTTTAAGCTTGTCAAAATTTTTTAAAATTTTATTCTGAATTAACTAATATTAAATTTTTTTATTTTTTATAATTAAATTAAAATATTTTCTTTGACATTTTTGGTTTAGTTTAGTTTTTTATTCATTTATTTATTGTTTTCTTTATGGAATAGGTGTCATTTTATGGTGTTTATTATAATATATATTATTATTAAAATATTTTATATAATTAAATTCGACTATTTAATTACAAATTTTTTACCTTATTTAATTTTCTTTAATTTCACTCTATTTTATTCCATTTTCTTATATTATTTCACATATCTTTATTTTATTTTTTAACTTAATTTAATATTTTTATTTTGAACTTTGAATTTATTTTATTATATTTTATTTTATCTTATTTAATTTTTTTTATATATATTATTTTATTATGTCATTAATTCTAGAAAATTTTTTTGATTCTATTGTATTATATTAAATTTAATTTATTTTTTTTTTGTTTTACGCATTTTATGTTTGATTTCCTTTCATTTAATTTTCTGGTATTTTATTCAATTATTTGTATTTTATGTTATTTTATTTTTAATTTTTATATCCCATTTTATTTAAATCAGTTGAATTTCTTTTAGGCTTATTTACTTTAATTTTGCTTACATATCTTCATTTCATTTTATTTTATTTTATTCTGTTTTATTTTATTTTATTGTATATGAATTTATTTTATATTATTTGATTTTATTCTATATTATTTTATTCTATTTTGTTTTATTCTTTTTTGTTTTATTTTATTTTATTTAATTCTATGTTATTTTATTTTATTTTTATTTATTTATTTTAATTTATTATATTTAGTTTCATTTTTTATATATTATTGCATTTCAGTTATATTATTTATTTTATTTTATTTTATAATTTTTAGTTAAATTTTATTTCATTTAATTTAATTTAATACTATATTATTTTATATATTTCATTTTAGTTTTTTTATTTATTTTATTTTGTTACGTATTCTTATTTTACCTCATTTAATTTTTATTTTATTTTTTTATATTCTTTCCTCTTTTCAGTTTATTTTATTTAAATTAATTTTAAATTTTATTATTTTCTTATTTTTTATTATTTTTTTATAATTTTTTTTTTAGTTCATTATTTTTTCTTTAATTTCACTGCATTTTCTCCGCTTTATTTCATAAATTTTTTATTTAAGCGAAATAAATATTTATTTGTAAATAAATTACAATCATAAATGCTCTAGTTTAAATAAACGAGTTCTGTCTGCGTATTCGTTATACACACGAGTAACGAGTAGTTACCGTCGCAAAAACAAAGGCTGCCCTTTCACTGACAACTCGCGGCAACAAAAATCTTTTTTATTATTAACAACAGAAAGTTAATAGTTTATTTTTTTTCGCAACAAGCAAGCAAACACGCATTAAAATTCGGATTTATCAACTAAATTTACATACACATGTACATTGATATGATTGTGCTTACATGCATGTGTGGTTGTTCGCCTTGGCAAAAGAGTAAAATGTTTTTGTTTTATTCGTACATTATTCTGCATTTTGCAGAATAAAATGATTTATTTGCGCGCTGATTTAAAACTGTTTCGGAAGCTGCTGCGGTCGACGTGCTGCAAACATGTGTATTCAGCTACCTATCCTCTGTCATATTCGTAATGATGATGGTATTTCCACTTCATTCACCGCATCACACACAGAGGCAGCTACTCAGAGCAACTCAGGCAAATCGTCAAGCAGCGTAAAAAATTAAAATCAAAATCAAAATCAAAATCAGTTTGTCAACAAGTTAACCGCTCGGGCGACCATCAACTGCATATGTAAATATGTGTGTATGTATGTATGAGTTATATTGGTGTGTGTATGACAAACAGCTTCCAGGCGGCCGCGCCACATCATGGCTGCCAATTATGTGATGTGATGACGATGGACGTTGGCTGTCATTGCTCCAGCGCGTTGTGTTGAGTGTTGAGGATATACGAAATTTTTATTTAAATATAATTTAGGGGTGATTTCGGGTATGTTTGTATGTATGTATGTATTGCATAAGCATATATTTATTAAATACTCGTAAAATTGTAAAATTTTCACTTTGGGGTTATTGGTTTAAATAAGTTGAGTTGAGTTGACATGCGCGCGCGCGGTCAGCGGATGATCGACCGATCTACCGGCCTGTGACTTTCATTGAAGGCAATGCGAGTAGTGAAATGAAATGAAATGAAATTAAATTAAATCTAATAAAAACAAGTGAAAATATTTAACATTCATAAATGTGCGCGCTGTACGTAACAGATACACACATACATACACAATTGTTATTTATGCATATGGAAAATATTTTGAAAAAGTAGTGCGCGCGTTTATGCCGCACAGCAGCCGACGCTTTAAATTAACAAACTTACGAGTCTGAGTGTGAGTGCGCTTAAAAACGCTGAGACACAGCATCAGCGCGCACAGTGGAGCGCTAAATTCGTTATTAAAGCAATGTGGGTAAACTGTATGTACATACATATATACATATGTGCGTGTGTGTGTTTGCGCGTGGTAGGAAGTACATACTTACCAACATACATACATATATGCATTTTTATATACATGTGAGTAGATTTTTCAACGCGCGGCGCAAGCAGGGACGTCTATATGTAAGAACATGTGCATAAGTTTGTATGTAGGTATGTGTACAGGGGTTCGCGGCTCAGCGCTTTTAAACAGTGAATGCCACTGTTATTACCGCCGGCATGACGACGACGAAAGTGATGTACGAGAGTTCTATACAAAATCAAAAAAATCAAAAAAAATCAAAAAAAAAAATAACAAAAATAACAAAAAATCAGATAACAAGTGAAAAAACATGTATGAGTGTATGTATGTATATAATATACCTACATATATACTATTGCTTAGTGTTTTGAAGCTTTACTTCAAGGCTGCTGGATTCTCCTAAGCGAAAGTTGCAAG